TAATATTTTAAGTAATTTTTTTATTTTTTATATTTTTCATTTTTACTTAATTTTTTTAATATTTTAAGTAATTTTTTTATTTTTTATATTTTTCATTTTTACTTAATTTTTTTAATATTTTAAGTAATTTTTTTATTTTTTATATTTTTCATTTTTACTTAATTTTTTTAATATTTTAAGTAATTTTTTTATTTTTTATATTTTTCATTTTTACTTAATTTTTTTAATATTTTAAGTAATTTTTTTATTTTTTAGATTTGTTTAGATATACTTAAGAAGCATAATATTTTGTGATCTTTTTTTAAAATTCACGAAATACAAAAATTCAGTAATATTTGTAATAAATGTGAATGACGGTGTTTGATAATACTATAATAAATGTGGGTGAATAGATAAGAAAGAAAAATTATGGTGGAAAGAAAAATAAAAACTCTATTCATATATAAAAATTTATACAAAAAAATATTATAAAAATCTTGTGATAGTGATGTTGTAAATATAAATCATGTTTATGAATATTTTCTCTTAAACTGAAATGTCACCATTAAGCTATATCATTATACTTGAAAATTGTATATAAAATTTATATTTGTATATCATTACTCAATAAGAATATGTTCACGTAAAATTTAATAATAATAAGTTGTAAAATATAATCGTGACGATAAAAAGAAGAAATGGTAAAAAAAAAGTAAAACAGTCATTTAAATTTTTTTAAAATGTGTCATTAAAATTTGAGAAATAATTAATGAGATTATAAATTTTAAAGGGGATAATATAATTTTTTAAACCTGGGGAATTTGTATTAAATAAATATTTCAACATGTCAGTGTAATTTTCCCTTAAACAAAAAAATAAAAAATAAAAATAGGAGAAGAGAACTTTATCTACTTCTACAGTGTAAAAACCCTAGGGTATGACAGTAGGGAATTGGTTCTAAACCCTAGTTCAATGTTGGTTCTCTTGTTCCGATAATTACCAGTTCATATCAAACAATCAGAACAACGAAGAAAGAAGCTACACAGAAGCTATTGGTGTGTAGAATCTCCGAGAATCTCAGTGGTGTCTGTCTTCGCCAATGGAGAAAGGACCTTCTTTTCTATTCTCAGGCATCACCTTCAACAAAAAGAGGTTCGCCAGCGACTTCGCGAGGTTCAAGGTAAAGTTTTTATTTTCTAATTTTTTCAAACCTTTCTGTTTGTTTGCCGAGAAAAAATCAGAGCACTTAGTCCTCAATGTCGAGGTCATGTTGAATTTGGGCATTTCTTTTACAGGAATTGATCGGTTCAATTCACCATTATATGATTGTTGATATCTGTGTTCTATAAGATTTTTTTCTTTCTTAATTCAAATTTGGGTTCTAATTTGATTTATAGGAGAAGAAAGAAAGTGATGATTTATTAAATCATAAGGCGAGCTTGGTCGAAAGCCAAAACCCTGAAATTTATTAAAATTTAAGCATTTATATCTGTGATGTTTATTAAAGTTTTCTCTTAGAAGATTATTATTATTTTTAAATTCATATTTTGGTTAAAAAAATTTCTTATAGGAGAAGAAAGAAAGTGTTGATTTATTAAATGATACGGCGAGCTCGGGTGAAAGCCAAAACCCATTTATTAAAATTTAGGCATTTATATCTGTGTGATGATTTATTAAAATTTTATCCTATAAGAATTTATTATTTGTTTTTTAAATTCACATTTTGGTTAAAATTTTCTCTTACAGGAGAAGAAAGAAAGTGATGATTTATTAAACGATACATCGAGCTTGGTCGAAAGCCAAAACTCTGAAATAGAAGAGAGGACGGTGCCAGCCAAGAAGAGGAAGAGGAAGTCAATGGTTTCAGGTAAATTTGCCCATATGGGTTTAGTGTACGAGCCAAGCGTTCAAATTGCCATTTGATATAACTTTTTGATTGGTTCTGTTTGCTTTGTTGTGATTTAGAACCAGTTGAAGGATTCAATGTATTCAAAAGTTCAAAATCAGAAGACGTGATGGAAGAGAATGTCCAGACTGAGAATGATGTTTCCCAAGGAAAGAAGGAACTGTACAGACAAATGGAGGTTTTCCTCTACCCTCCCCACAACTCTCTCCATATATATGTATATACATGTATTATAACTAAATTTGTTGAGGGGAAATATACCTTATGAATAAATAAATATATCTAATAAATATTGTGGCAATAGGATTGTTTAGTTTATATTCAAAATGGGCGTGAATTATTATTATTGTCGTTGTTTATATTGCATTATGATGTTTTTCTCTGTTTCAATTTAATTTTTTGTTTTAATTTCATTTGTTTAGCGGGATGCGCTTTTCCGGAAGAAACATAACATCCACACTTCTGGGAGTAATGTCCCATCTCCTCTTCAGAATTTTACTGAGTTAAAATCAAGGTAGTTTCTCAATATATTTCTGTGGTTCTTAGGTTAGACACAAGACTTTTTGCCCTTCTCTTTGTAAACCTATTAACATCATTTTGTCATCATGCCTCTCCTTAGGCTTGTTCTTTTGTCTACCCACAAAAAGTAGAAGGAAATATTATACGTACTTTGTGCAACATGAGTGTTGCATCCCATACAGTGATTTGAGAGAGAGAGAGAGAAAGAACCTAGTCAGATTGGTTACAACTTATGCTGTTAAAATTGATATCTATTCAAATGACAATGTAAATCCATCTTGGATTTGGAGTCCCCTTGCCTTCAATTCCCGTCAAATCACCATATAAAGCTCTCTCTTCTTACAAGGCCTGAGCCTTATTACTCTTTTCATGGAGCCAGCTTGTTTTCGTCTCTCATCTTTTATGACTCTGATCATTTTTAGGTCCTCATTTTTCCCCTTAATTTTAGAAAGCCTTTTTCACAATGTCATGACTAAAAAATGACAATATATTTGGTTTCATACAGATATGGATGCAAACAATATTTGTTACGCAATTTTGCAGAACTTGGATATAAAGAGCCAACACCAATTCAAAGGCAGGCTATTCCAGTTATTTTATCTGTATGGTCTTCCATTTAATCTATTTTCATCTTTATCTGTTTTTCATTGTTTTCTTTATGCATCAAGCTATAATACATAACTATGTTGATTATACAATCTTTATCTTTGTCATGATGCTCATAAAAAGGAATTGGTCTTTAGTGCCAATTTGATTGCTACTGCTTTCTCTAATAGCTGTTTAATAATTGTTTTTGTAAGGGGCGGGAATGCTTTGCTTGTGCTCCAACTGGTTCTGGCAAAACCTTGGCTTTTGTTTGTCCCATGCTTATGAAACTTAAGGTATTACTGGAAGTTTTTGAACAATATTTGGGAAGGTTAGTTGTTAAATTCATCTAAGGAACTTTTTTCTAATTATCAGCATGCTTCAAAAGATGGTGTCCGAGCTGTGATCCTTTGTCCTACACGAGAGTTAGCTGCTCAGACAGCAAGAGAGTGCAAGAAGATGGCTAAAGGAAAGAAATTTTATATCAAGTTAATGACCAGTCAGCTTGTTAGAAGTGCTGATTTTTCAAAATTACATTGTGATATACTCATATCAACACCACTTCGGTTACAGTTTGCCATACGCAAAAGAAAGCTTGATTTAAGCAGGTACGTGTTTGAAGGGTTATCTAATCACTAGTTGATGCCACTCACTTAAAAGGACGGAATGCCAAAACAATAAATGTCATGATACTTATTAGGGCCCATAGCAGTATATTTGTTGCTATGACACTAAAGAAAAAGCTTCCTGGATTGTGTTTTGAATTCTCAAATCAAATAGCAGATTTCAAGTATTGAGTATAACTTTTAATTAAACTACCTTCTGAATATTTTGTGGTATTTGCTACATGCATGCTTAATCTAATGATGAAATCATAAAGTCTTAGCTTCCTTTGGGCTTTAACAAATATTCCTTTCAGGTATAGATTAACTAGTCTTCAATGACCTTTTGTCTTCATGAATTTCTTCTTAATTATTTAATCTGCTTGTTGAAAATTGACTAATTGGAATTGATATTCCAATCATCTGAACTTCACTATGTGCCCACTGTATGGACAATAAGTTATATATTATATGATGGAAGCTACTTAATTATTTTCTCTGGTTGGTTCTGCGAGCATGTATTGAAAGACTTACTTTGAGCTAATATAGTTATCCTAGGTTGCGTTAACTTAAAATGATGGCCATGTTTAGTTTGTATTTGTGAAACAATTTTGAAAAATAATTTTCTTTTTAGAGTTTACAAAATTTGAAATTTTGTTTGGGTGTATGTTTTGAAAATAGTTTTGGAGTTTGGGACGATTTAATTTAATTTGATTTTTTTTGTTTTGTTTTGTAGTTGAATAGATGGTTGTGAAAGAAAAAGTGATTGATTGATGTGTAGAATGTTAAAGAATGATCGAGGAGAATTGATGTGTAGTAGAGAGAAAAATGATTTTGGAATTTTTTTTCAAAAATTTTTAACCAAACAATTTTTTTAAATATTTTCTCAAAAATTGTCGCTTAGGAGACAAACCTAACGAGGCCGATAATTCTTGAAACTTCTTCTAGATCTTTAAAGATGGGATTAGAGTGGTTAGACCTTCCGAACTCAAGGATAATGTGAAGGTCAATGCAAAGTTTTGAGTTATTTGGGTTAAAAAAGAAGAGCCCAAGAGCTTATACACTTGTGTTTCTGGACATGAATACGAGTTTTATAATGGGTTCACAAGGCCCCATCATAGAATTTGAAAAAGAAGATTTAATAGAAAAGTGAATCTCAGACTTTGCACAGTCATGAACCTTGACCTTCAAATTGATGAGCTAGTCCATGTGTCTGCTTGGACTTATAAATTCATTTTATGGCACGTTAAGATTTCCTTCTAGTTTTCTGTTTTGAAAACTAGTTATTGCATAAAAAATAACTAGACCTTTTTATTTTTATTTTTTTTGGGATTTGATATGAAATTATTCTTCCAGTTTTACTTTCATGAAGTTTGCACAATAATCATATACACTTCTTGAAAGAATGGCTAGGACATGTAACGGAATGTTATTTCTAGTGATTGGTCATCTGAAAATGTAAAGGACCTTCATCCATTCAGCATTGTGAGTTAGTGTTACCATGCTTCCCAACTTGTGATTGGTCATCTGAAAATAATCATATACACTTACTTGAAGAATGGCCAAGACATGTAATTGAATGTTATTTCTAGTGATTGGTCATCTGAAAATGGAAAGAACCATCTTCTTTCAGCATTGCGGGTTAGTGTTACCATGCTTCCCAACTTGTGATTGGTCATCTGAAAATAATCATATACACTTGATTGAAGAATGGCTAGGACATGTAACGGAATGTTATTTCTAGTGATTGGTCATCTGAAAATGTAAAGGACCTTCATCCATTCAGCATTGTGAGTTAGTGTTACCATGCTTCCCAACTTGTGATTGGTCATCTGAAAATAATCATATACACTTGATTGAAGAATGGCTAGGACATGTAACGGAATGTTATTTCTAGTGATTGGTCATCTGAAAATGTAAAGGACCTTCATCCATTCAGCATTGTGAGTTAGTGTTACCATGCTTCCCAACTTGTGATTGGTCATCTGAAAATAATCATATACACTTGATTGAAGAATGGCTAGGACATGTAACGGAATGTTATTTCTAGTGATTGGTCATCTGAAAATGTAAAGGACCTTCATCCATTCAGCATTGTGAGTTAGTGTTACCATGCTTCCCAACTTGTGATTGGTCATCTGAAAATAATCATATACACTTGATTGAAGAATGGCTAGGACATGTAACGGAATGTTATTTCTAGTGATTGGTCATCTGAAAATGTAAAGGACCTTCATCCATTCAGCATTGTGAGTTAGTGTTACCATGCTTCCCAACTTGTGATTGGTCATCTGAAAATAATCATATACACTTGATTGAAGAATGGCTAGGACATGTAACGGAATGTTATTTCTAGTGATTGGTCATCTGAAAATGTAAAGGACCTTCATCCATTCAGCATTGTGAGTTAGTGTTACCATGCTTCCCAACTTGTGATTGGTCATCTGAAAATAATCATATACACTTGATTGAAGAATGGCTAGGACATGTAACGGAATGTTATTTCTAGTGATTGGTCATCTGAAAATGTAAAGGACCTTCATCCATTCAGCATTGTGAGTTAGTGTTACCATGCTTCCCAACTTGTGATTGGTCATCTGAAAATAATCATATACACTTACTTGAAGAATGGCCAAGACATGTAATTGAATGTTATTTCTAGTGATTGGTCATCTGAAAATGTAAAGGACCTTCATCCATTCAGCATTGTGAGTTAGTGTTACCATGCTTCCCAACTTGTGATTGGTCATCTGAAAATAATCATATACACTTACTTGAAGAATGGCCAAGACATGTAATTGAATGTTATTTCTAGTGATTGGTCATCTGAAAATGTAAAGGACCTTCATCCATTCAGCATTGTGAGTTAGTGTTACCATGCTTCCCAACTTGTGATTGGTCATCTGAAAATAATCATATACACTTACTTGAAGAATATCTCAACCTATCTATTTAATTTTTGAACAGATGTGAGCCTTTTGGAGAGAAAATAGAGGCCACGTTTGGGAACCCTCAATTTTAGCCAAAAAGTTAAAAAGTTACCAAATTAGCTAAAAAGCCAACAACCCATACCAAAAAGTCAAAGATTTTCTTTTCTCTATACTTTTTGCACATCTTTTCGTAAAAAATCAAAAAGTCATCCCAAACATACTAGTTTTTTTTTAGCTCATATTTTAGCCAAATAGCCAAAAAGTTACTAAATTAGCCTGTTCCCAAACGAGGCCAGAGTGATTTGTTCAAATTCACAAACTTTGTTTTTGCCATCTGTTGAAATCTTCCACCACACAGATATACAGAGAAATGGCTTCACTAAAGAAATATAAACAAAAGACAAAAAATAAGTTTTTTCTTTGTTTTGGCTATCTGTATTATTTGTATCTGTTATTTATTCACAAACTTTGTTTTTGCGCTCTCTCGGTTAGCTCAATCATCGCCCCCACCCCACATAATTCCCTACCCCATTGACCCTCTAAATCAGTCTTCTATTTCCATTTCCAAACTCCCAACAGTTTCTCTGAGTCATTTCATCGAACAATTTATGTACATCAACAACCTCAAAACAAAGCTCTCCTACCTTACCTCTTTACGCCCTCCTTCTTCTTCCCCTACCTACGCCGCCGCCACCACCAACAACCCCAAAAGAAAGCTCCAGAGTAAGAAAAGTATAACTTAAATTAATATCATCACCACCGGCTACAGATCTGAACAACTTCATACCAAATCCACAAAACACATATATAGTAGCCATAAAGGTAATCAACAATCAAAGATTGAGCTAAGAAAAGTATAATTCAAACTGTGAAGGATGATTCTTTTGCGGTGGAGATAGGCGACGACGGTGCGGTGGAGACAAATATGGGGATTGCCAACACCAACTCGTCAACTGTGTCAAGAAAAGTAGAAGCATCGGCAGAGTCAAACCAGATCGGATGATCTGTCACCTATCAAAGCTACAGAGTTAGAGAGAGAGAGAGAGCCTGTACAGATATATTCCACCCTTGGATTGCAGACTTTTCAATCAAACTCCGAATTCGTAGGAGAACTTTGTGTCGCCTTCACCGGCTTCAAATCACCTGTCTACCAGAGAGTTCGATCAAGAAGAATTAATTAGATTTGAAGGTGATCCGAAGATCTAGCAGGGTCAGCGGTGGCGATAGTGAGAAAGACGAAAGAGAGAGAAATCTTGGAATAGATACAGAAAACGAGAGAAAGGGTTTTGAGATAAGTGTTTGTATGGTTTATACGTAGGATGGGTATTTTGGTCATTTTACGACGCTTGTCCTTGTGGAGATAATATTTTAAAGGAATGCTGCTATTAGCATCTATCAAAATTTTTTGAATCTCCCATTTCTTTGGATCCCAACCCTAGATTCTAAATTTTTATAATATTGTTTTGGATACTTCACTTATTACCAAATCTACCTATATTCATAATATTTTTCACAATGAAATGCACACCTATCTAATTTTTCATTCCTCTCCTTTCCTAACTCACTCAATCTTCAGAGTTTGGAGCTTTGGTCAAGTATAGAATTCTTGGACCCTAACTCTCCATCACTCTCGTCGCCGTCTCAGCCGTCAACGGAGCATTCCGACGACTCTCATCTTCTCTGAACGCTCTCCGTATCGCCGAATCAGTAACCTCTCTCATCCTCTCCTTATCATCTTCTTCATTGCTTTTTGTATCTTCATCATCGTTGAGATCGATCGAAGATACTCTAATTTCTACGGGATTTGCATAACCGTTTGCAAGATGAGAAAAAACAGAATCATCGTCTGAATCGCCATCAGAATTCTGAATATAACCCAAAATAATTTGTTCACCACTGTGTAGCCGAAAAAATGTATTTTATTCAGAACTGTTTTGTCGAACAATAATAATCCTGTCAGCACTGTATGTCTGAACAAAATTTGTTCATCACTGTGTAACTTGAATCCATTCCAATTCACAACTTAAAATAACATGAATTAAATCCATTCAAAATACATAACTTAAATCCATTCCAATTCACTCTTTTCCATTCTAAGTTAGTTTAACAAAGAAAATTACATAACTGACTATTTGCATTAATGTTCGGAACCTATGTATTGAACGAAAGTATTATGTTCAGTACTGTATTACCGAACATAATTCTAACAGTCAGCAAACCAGTACTGAACAGCTCGAACGAAATAAGAACGACCGAAAACGACCGAGAATGTTGATACAAGACAGATAAACGACCGAGAATGTTGTCATCGTCCTCCATTGCTCTACACAGTGAAATAAGTGATGAAGTATACGTTATACTTGAAGCAAAACTTTTAAGTTCAATAACGTTGACGATGGTGATGAAAATAACACATTCATGATTTAAGATGATTATGAAAAATAATAGATTTATGCTGTGTTTGTTTGGGAGATTTAGGGAGGGATTTGGAAAAGGAAATGGAAAAGGTGTGTGAAACTATGTGAAATATAGGCATGATTTATTCACATTTCACCTACTTTTTCTATTTCCCTTTCAAAATCCCTTCCCAAATCCCTCAACCAAACACAGCATTAGGGTTTATGTTAGTTGGTTATGAAAAGTAATAGGTTTAGGGTTTACAAACATAAAATACGTATAGTTGGAGTTGGAGTTGGAGTTGCGGTTGGGGGTAGGAGTAGGGGTGGGGTGAGTGTCCAATATTATAGAGTATTAGTTCTTATTGATAAGTGGATGTTTCATTTAATAATGTCTTTTAATGTAATTTTACTTTAGGGTATAATTGTAATTAAAAAAAATTATAAAATGGGGGGTCCAAAGAATTTTGACAGGTGCTAATAGCAGCACTCATTTCAAAGCCTTGACCTGTTGGCAAAGAAAATGTAAATTTAGATTTATAAATTGAGTGTCCTATTTTTAATGATTTTTTTTAATTATTCTAATCAAATTTTTTTATTTTTTTTATAAAAATTTTAGATTCACTTAATCTTAATATACTTAAAAAGTAAAAAAATTATACAAAAATCTTTAAAAACTTTATTGAATACAAAAAGTACAAAAATGTATTGAATTTTTATTTTTTTTGTTGTATTTGGTGAATTTTTTTAAGCTTTTTTTTCCACAAATATTACATTTTTTAAACGTATTTAAATTAGGTGTATTTAAAAAATAAAAAAAAAATTGTAAAATATTTTAAAAATTCACTAAAAATAATTAAATACGAAAAATAAAAAATTACTTTTCTGAAAAGTGGACTCAATTTTCTAGAACCAAACATCTTGATAACATATTTCAAACAAGATCTATGAGTCACATGAAATTCTGGCAAAAAAATTTGTTATTGTGTTCATTGTTACGTCACAGTAAAATTTTTCATTTCGTACATAGTGAAATTTTACTCAGAGAAATTTTAATGTTCAAAGTCAATATAGTATATTTTTTTACACTATAAAATTTAAAATTGATTATTAATTGCAAAAATTAGGTCATTAATTCTAAATTTATTACTACAAATTTTTAATTGAAGGTTTTAAAATAATGAATTTTAAAATTTTCTATATTAAACCAATAAAATTTCACTGTATATATAATGAAATTTATTTGACTCTACAAGTGAAACTTCATTGTACAATATCAGTGCAAAAATAAAATTTTAAAACTTTAAAAGATAAAAAATTGAAGGTCAATTACAAAACTTAGGTCCTTAATTCCAAAAATTTCACTAGTTAAAGTCACAAGGCATCAATCCGACATTGACAAAGACCTAGTTTGTGAAATTTCCCTTATTAATAACATACAAACCAATAGATCAAACGATAAGATCGACTAGATATGAATTGGAGATGTGTGAATGGTAATGAATGTCGGTTGACAGAAGAGGGAGACGCAATAAACGACATTATATTGACACTGGTAGATACGATGATAGTAGTAAAAGTGTTGGCGGAAATAGTTGATACGTTATGGCGGCGCTATAGATGCCATGAATTTGAAATTGTTGATTGAAGAAATAGAGACATTGTAAGTTGAAGAGATAGAAATCGAGAAGAAATCTGAGAAGCGATAGAGTAAGAAATTTTTTTTAAAAAAAAAATTAGAGACAAAATTTAAGATTTTTAGATTAACAAGAGTATGTATGTAAAAATTTGTTCTTATTGTTTCAAAATTTCAAATCTTTCTCTTTTTGTACAAAAATTACATTTACACAACATTTTGGCCTTGAATAAAAAACAAGGGTAAATTACACTGGCACCCCTTGAGATTTCTGTTTAATATAGATTTCCTTTTCATATTTGAAAAATTACACTTACTCCTTGTCAGATTAAAATGACATATTTGTCCCTTAGTCTTTATACATATAAAATATTACGATAATGCTGATATTTTGTTTATGTTATTTTAAGAAAAATAACAATAATTTTCTTTGGTTGAACTGACACAAAAAATTGAACTTTTTTTATTTTTCATGTTTTTTTTTATTTTTACTGATTTTTTTTAAAAAAATTAATATATTTTTTATTTTTTAGATATACCTAATTTATATATATTTAAAAGTATAATATTTTGCGATTTTTTTAAATTCACCAAATACAAAAAAATAAAAAAATTTAATAATACTGTAATAAATATGGGTGAATAGACGATAAAGAAAAATAATGGTGAAAATAAAAATGAAAATTTCTTTTCATATAGTATAAAAATTTATACAAAAAATATTATAAAAATATTGCGATAGTGATATTATTGTAAATATAAATCATGTTTATGAATATTTTCTCTTAAACTGAAATGTCACCATTAAGCTATATCATTATACTTGAAAATTGTATATAAAATTTATGTTTGTATATCATTACTCAATAAGAATATGTTCACGTAAAATTTAATAATAATAAGTTGTAAAATATAATCGTGACGATAAAAAGAAGAAATGGTAAAAAAAAAGTAAAACAGTCATTTAAATTTTTTTAAAATGTGTCATTAAAATTTGAGAAATAATTAATGAGATTATAAATTTTAAAGGGGATAATATAATTTTTTAAACCTGGGGAATTTGTATTAAATAAATATTTCAACATGTCAGTGTAATTTTCCCTTAAACAAAAAAATAAAAAATAAAAATAGGAGAAGAGAACTTTATCTACTTCTACAGTGTAAAAACCCTAGGGTATGACAGTAGGGAATTGGTTCTAAACCCTAGTTCAATGTTGGTTCTCTTGTTCCGATAATTACCAGTTCATATCAAACAATCAGAACAACGAAGAAAGAAGCTACACAGAAGCTATTGGTGTGTAGAATCTCCGAGAATCTCAGTGGTGTCTGTCTTCGCCAATGGAGAAAGGACCTTCTTTTCTATTCTCAGGCATCACCTTCAACAAAAAGAGGTTCGCCAGCGACTTCGCGAGGTTCAAGGTAAAGTTTTTATTTTCTAATTTTTTCAAACCTTTCTGTTTGTTTGCCGAGAAAAAATCAGAGCACTTAGTCCTCAATGTCGAGGTCATGTTGAATTTGGGCATTTCTTTTACAGGAATTGATCGGTTCAATTCACCATTATATGATTGTTGATATCTGTGTTCTATAAGATTTTTTTCTTTCTTAATTCAAATTTGGGTTCTAATTTGATCTTATAGGAGAAGAAAGAAAGATGATTTATTAAATCATAAGGCAAGCTTTGTTGAAAGCCAAAACCCTGAAATGTATTAAAATTTAAGCTTTTATATCTGTGATGATTTATTAAAGTTTTCTCTTAGAAGATTATTATTATTTTTTTTACTTCACATTTTGGTTAAAAAAATTTCTTGTAGGAGAAGAAAGAAAGTGTTGATTTATTAAATGATACGGCGAGCTCGGGTGAAAGCCAAAACCCATTTATTAAAATTTAGGCATTTATATCTGTGTGATGATTTATTAAAATTTTATCCTATAAGAATTTATTATTTGTTTTTTAAATTCACATTTTGGTTAAAATTTTCTCTTACAGGAGAAGAAAGAAAGTGATGATTTATTAAACGATACATCGAGCTTGGTCGAAAGCCAAAACTCTGAAATAGAAGAGAGGACGGTGCCAGCCAAGAAGAGGAAGAGGAAGTCAATGGTTTCAGGTAAATTTGCCCATATGGGTTTAGTGTACGAGCCAAGCGTTCAAATTGCCATTTGATATAACTTTTTGATTGGTTATGTTTGCTTTGTTGTGATTTAGAACCAGTTGAAGGATTCAATGTATTCAAAAGTTCAAAATCAGAAGACGTGACGGAAGAGAATGTCCAGACTGAGAATGATGTTTCCCAAGGAAAGAAGGAACTGTACAGACAAATGGAGGTTTTCCTCTACCCTCCCCACAACTCTCTCCATATATATGTATATACATGTATTATAACTAAATTTGTTGAGGGGAAATATACCTTATGAATAAATAAATATATCTAATAAATATTGTGGCAATAGGATTGTTTAGTTTATATTCAAAATGGGCGTGAATTATTATTATTGTCGTTGTTTATATTGCATTATGATGTTTTTCTCTGTTTCAATTTAATTTTTTGTTTTGATTTCATTTGTTTAGCGGGATGCGCTTTTCCGAAAGAAACATAACATCCACACTTCTGGGAGTAATGTCCCATCTCCTCTTCAGAATTTTACAGAGTTAAAATCAAGGTAGTTTCTCAATATATTTCTGTGGTTCTTAGGTTAGACACAAGACTTTTTGCCCTTCTCTTTGTAAACCTATTAACATCATTTTGTCATCATGCCTCTCCTTAGGCTTGTTCTTTTGTCTACCCACAAAACGTAGAAGGAAATATTATACATACTTTGTGCAACATGAGTGTTGCATCCCATACAGTGATTTGAGAGAGAGAGAGAGAAAGAACCTAGTCAGATTGGTTACAACTTATGCTGTTAAAATTGATATCTATTCAAATGACAATGTAAATCCATCTTGGATTTGGAGTCCGCTTGCCTCCATTTCCCGTCAAATCACCATATAAAGCTCTCTCTTCTTACAAGGCCTGAGCCTTATTACTCTTTTCATGGAGCCAGCTTGTTTTCGTCTCTCATCTTTTATGACTCTGATCATTTTTAGGTCCTCATTTTTCCCCTTAATTTTAGAAAGCCTTTTTCACAATGTCATGACTAAAAAATGACAATATATTTGGTTTCATACAGATATGGATGCAAACAATATTTGTTACGCAATTTTGCAGAACTTGGATATAAAGAGCCAACACCAATTCAAAGGCAGGCTATTCCAGTTATTTTATCTGTATGGTCTTCCATTTAATCTATTTTCATTTTTATCTGTTTTTCATTGTTTTCTTTATGCATCAAGCTATAATACATAACTATGTTGATTATACAATCTTTATCTTTGTCATGATGCTCATAAAAAGGAATTGGTCTTTAGTGCCAATTTGATTGCTACTGCTTTCTCTAATAGCTGTTTAATAATTGTTTTTGTAAGGGGCGGGAATGCTTTGCTTGTGCTCCAACTGGTTCTGGCAAAACCTTGGCTTTTGTTTGCCCCATGCTTATGAAACTTAAGGTATTACTGGAAGTTTTTGAACAATATTTGGGAAGGTTAGTTGTTAAATTCATCTAAGGAACTTTTTTCTCATTATCAGCATGCTTCAAAAGATGGTGTCCGAGCTGTGATCCTTTGTCCTACACGAGAGTTAGCTGCTCAGACAGCAAGAGAGTGCAAGAAGATGGCTAAAGGAAAGAAATTTTATATCAAGTTAATGACCAGTCAGCTTGTTAGAAGTGCTGATTTTTCAAAATTACATTGTGATATACTCATATCAACACCACTTCGGTTACAGTTTGCCATACGCAAAAGAAAGCTTGATTTAAGCAGGTACGTGTTTGAAGGGTTATCTAATCACTAGTTGATGCCACTCACTTAAAAGGACGGAATGCCAAAACTATGAATGTCACGATACTTAGGCCAAGTTTGGCATCCCCCAAAAAATTCAAAAAGTCAAAAAGTCACTATCCTATTTAAGTCACCTCATCTTATTTAAGTCGCATCACCTCTCTAACACATCACTTCAAACCCAACCCAAATCTAATCCATATTTCATAAAAAATCAAAAAGTGCACTTATTTAGTCTTCCTAAACTTGGCTTTATTAGGGCCCATAGCGGAATGTTTGTTGCTATGACACTAAAGAAAAAGCTTCCTGGGTTGTGTTTTGAATTCTTAAATCAAATCACAGATTTCAAGTATTGAGTATAACTTTTAATTGAACTACCTTCTGAATATTTTGTGGTATTTGCTACATGCATGCTTAATCTAATGATGAAATCATAAAGTCTTAGCTTCGCGTATTGGCACTGAATTGTAATACACGATATTGTCCCTTACTAGGACAGAATGAAGATAAGTTAACACTCGCTTGCCCAAATAGCAACACATCGTGTCTGGATGCATTATTAGAAGCATTTCGGCACAGTATCTCTCAAAATTCACTTAATCTGCGCGTCTTAGAGTAGAGAGAATTGACTAAGTGGCGACCTGAGTCATACCAATATGACGTGAAGTACGGTGGACACATTTGTGGCACTAGGTATCTTGGACAAATAGAGGTCCACATGTACTCAGATCTCCATCCAATCATATGATGGGAAGGACTATAATGAGACGGAACCAGAAGGATATTTATCTCACTGTTAGGTGATTACGGCATCGTATTTGAAGACGAAATCGTACTCATCACTTGAGGCTCTAATAGTAGCGACAATAATCCCTAATACGGTTATTTACATATAAAATGTGACAATGATGGCGGGCATCTGTGATATGTCGTGTTGTGAAACCAAAATCTAATATTGCCAAGAAAGAATAATATGTTCCTTATTTTATGCAGAAGGAAGCCAGTTTAGAAAAATCTTGAAAAATTTTGCTCCTGCCAAGGCTGCGTGTATGCTATTTTCCAGAAAAACGTAGATTTTGGAGATCTCTGAGCGACGATATTAAATTTTAAAGTGTTGCAGTTTTTTATATTAGCTCTGTTTATAGTACGATATGAGCTTAAATCGGTTGTAAAAAAGAAAAGTGATTGATTTATGAGTGTTCATAACTGAGATCTCAAAGACGGAAAATCATCGAGAGAGAAATTGAGTGGCGGTGTAAGTAGACGAGAAGAAAATGCGGATTTTGGAATTTTTTTCTCCAAAATTTTATGACCAACGAAAATTTGTATTAATACTCTATTCTCAATCATATTGCTAGAGCTTATGGAGACCCCAAACCATAACCGACACGATTATATTATACGTTTGAGAAACTCGTTCTAAATCTTTAAGATGGATTAGGTGGTTAGACTTCCAATCAAGGATAATAGTGTGAGAGCTACACAAATGCAAAAGTTGTACTGAAGATTAACTTAGTGAGTAAAAAAACAAGAAGCCCAATAGCTCTACGGCACTGGACGTGTTGTTTACTGAGACGCATGAATAACGATGTTTATATGAATAGGTTCGACACAGGCCCCATGCAGAGACAATATTGAGAAAAGCAGAATTAGAAATTGTACATAGAGGAGAAAGTGTGATTACTTGCAGTATCTGGCACTAGGTGCTGATGGAACCGGGTAGACATATACGAGACGCAAAGTTGATGTGAGCTGTCATGTGTTTACTGCGTGTGGACATGCCTCTGAACAAAACTACGCGTTTCCCTGGGCAACGTGAGAGTAATCGTCCCTATTTTAGTCATCTGTCTTATGGTTCTCGTGTTCTGAAAACTGAGTGTGACTTAGGCATCAAACAAAACGAAAGCTAGACGCTGTTTATCAACTTTTCATTTGTTTATTTGATGTGGATGGTTGAGTCGCATAAATTATAGATCCCTCCTATGGTGGCGTTAATTTCATTGAAGTTTGCCCACATAAAACATGCGAGTGAAGACCAACAACGTATAGTGTGGGCGAGGGACAATAGCTTAGACATGTCAACGGAATGTTATGTGTATGCATCAATAATAGTGCGATTCTATGATAGTCATACTATAATGAGACGAATGAGGCCTTACAACTAACATCTCAGCATTTGTGAGTAGTGGTTACGGCCAACGCAATTTCACCCACACAGTGCGTGATGAATGGCAGTGGTCTAATCATGAAGAGAATATCATATACACTACTTGAAGAATGGCCAAGACATGTAATTGAATGTTATTTCTAGTGATTGGTCATCTGAAAATGGAAAGTACCATCTTCTTTCAGCATTGCGGGTTAGTGTTACCATGCTTCCCAACTTGTAATTGGTTTTTGCAGGGTTGAATACCTTGTTCTGGATGAGTCAGATAAGCTATTTGAGCTTGGCTTGGTGAAGCAGGTTGATTCGGTGGTCAAAGCGTGCTCCAATCCTTCGATATTACTTCATTGTTTAGTGCTACTTTACCTGATGCGGTTGAAGAGCTTGCGCGCACAATAATGCATGATGCTGTTCGTGTTATTATTGGCAGGAAGTAAGTACAAAAGCGGATGCAAGTATTTTTTTCAATATGACCTTCTAGTTGGAAGCCTCTGTAGGGTGCCCTACGTTTGTGACTAAAGAAAGTACAATAAAAGTCTAGTCTACTACATGTACAGTCTTGCTTGATTTATCAAAAGCTGATCAGTTGAAATAATTAACAGAAATTCTGCTTCTGAATCAATAAAGCAAAAACTGGTTTTTGTTGGGAGTGAAGAAGGGAAACTTCTTGCTCTTCGTCAAAGTTTTGCAGAGGTATGCTGCTGATGTTTTACTGCTTCTACAGTATATGATCTATGAAGATTATTTATCTGCAAAATTTCATATTTGTTACTATGTTAGGAATACAGAATAATAATAGTAAAATCGATACTGGCTCTCTGGATGTGAAGTCAAATCTGTAGCTCCAATGCAGACATACCATGGGCCTTGTTACCCAGTGGTACACGTTTTATCTTTTGTCCAAGTACTTGAGTGGGTTTTAATTTTGTTATCATTTGGTGTATATGCAAATTGAACGTGTGATGTACCCAAATATAAAAAGTATTGCCCTATTGAATAGCATGTAACACCAGAAAAAAGAAAAATAAAGGAAAATAGTATATAAGGTTAGGAAAGTTCTTAGGAAAAAGATAGTTATACCTGTGAATTGTGGATGTAACAAAAATCTAACCATCGGGAACCCTCGGAAACTTTTCACTAAACTTATCATTACTCCGAATTGACTCCATAATCTCACCTTTTTTTTATTTTAAAATATTTTTAATGGGTTCAAAATGAATGTGCATGAAGTTCTATAAATATATCATAGATCATTTAAGCTGTGTTTGGTTTGCCTTTGGAATAATAATTCCAAAGCAAAATTTTCAAATCACTTTTCAAAATTCATAATCAAACACACAACTCAAAATTACTCAAAACTCAATTCAAAAATTAATTTCAAAACTCATAATCAAACACATAATTCAAAATTCAATTCAAAACTCTTTTATGATATAGTGTTGAAAATGGTTAGTGATGAGATTGTTAAATTATTTTTATAAAAAATCTAAAAAAAATAATTTTTATTTTTAAAAAATTATCTAAAACAAATATATATATATATATATATTAAAAAACAAGATGCAATTGCCCAAAAAAAAAAAAATTTGCACTGTTTCGGCCAGACGTCCGGGTAGACCCAATTTGCTCTTTTCAAAATTTAAAATTCAAGAATTCCTTTCAAAACTCTTTTCAAAACTCATGACCAAACAAATTTTCTCTTTTCAAAACTCAACTCACAATTTCACATTCAAATCACAAGTCCAAAAAGAGAATCACAATTCCAAAACTAAACCAAACGCAACCTTACTTTTTTCTTCAAGTCTCAGTGAGGTTAATTGACCCTGTGATGAAGATCATGTAAAGAAGAAAGAGAGCAATTCTGGAATTTCACGTGAAACACATTTAGGCCATCAAGATTTAAAGATTTGGAATAATTTTGAGTTTTCATGTCATTATAGTAGGTTTTAGTAGTTAAGGATATTATGGTCATTTCAATTTTGCTGGACATGGGTTGTAAAGTTGTCCATGGGTTTTATTTTGGGTCAAGTTATTAAATGGGTTTTTATATATGGGTTTTATTATATCTAAAATAATCTTAGTGATTAAAAGTTCAAGTTTCTTATTTTGATATTAAAGTAGAATTAGAAGTTATTAAAGTTTCCTATTATGATTGAAATAGAATTGGAAGTCATAGTTGATCTATAATATTTGTAGTTGCTAAATATTTTTAGTTTCTAAATTTGAGTTATAGTCCTTATAGAATAAGGCGAGTCTTTAACCTATAAATATATGTGTAATCTCAATTATTGAAGACAAGAGTTAATATTATAAAAATTTGAGATTGTGTGTGGCTTAAGTGGAAGAGTGTGTCTGGGGTACTGAATGATAAATGAGTACCTATTAGATTAAAAGAAAATTTTTATAGAACGGCTATTAGACTAGTGATGTATGGAAAGGAATATTGGGCAACTAAGAAATAATATGTAGATAAGGTGAGTGTTGTTGAGATGAGGATGCTAAGGTGGATGTGTGGCAAGATTAGAAAAAAACAGAATTAGGAATGAGTATATTTGTAAATGGGTAAGAGTAGTATCGATAGAAGATAAGTTGAGAGAGAATAAATTAAGATGGTTTAGTCATATACAATGGAGGCCAACAGAAGCAATAATGAAGAGATGTGATACAGTGATGGTAGATGGAAGTGTTAGGGGATGGGTCAGACCTAAATTGACATGGGCGAGTGTAGTAAATAGAGATGTGAATCTCCTTAATTTGACTAACCAAATGACCGTTGATAGAGTTGAGTGGAGAAGAAGGATTCATGTAGCCGATCTCATTTAATAGGATTTAAGGCTTGGTTTGGTTTACCTTAAGCTGTTTTGTTTAAACTTATAATTAGTTTCACATGTATTTAATCGATAGACACGTGTTTAAACGATAGACATGTGTGTCCTCCTAGTATCCAAAGAGTGTCTGGGTAAATTAAAAAATAGGACACGCTTTGACGAAGGTCGGACACGTGTTGGGGAAATGTCCAACGAGTGTTGGTGTCCGACGCGGACATGACACGGATACATCACCTTCGTAGAAGTGTCCGTGCTTCTTAGAAAAATGGCATTTGCAACATTTCCTTTTTTTATGTTAAGAGTGCCCCTGCTGTTATTCATTTTTTGAAACGTTTCTTCCTGACTATTTTTATTACTTTAATTTCAAACTCACTTGTAAGCAGAGTTTGAATCCTCCAGTACTAGTCTTTCTTCAAAACAAGGAAAGGGCAAAGGAGCTTTACAAGGAACTGGCTTTTGATGACATCAGAGCTGATGTTATACATGCTGATATGAGCCAAATGCAGGTAATTTCAGTTTCATTGTTATTCGGATAATGAGATCCTTATAAGCACTTGCACACCTTCCTGGTTAAGATGTTTTCTCTTTTCTCCTTAAACTATTTCCTTGGTAAACAACCTGCAATTAGTACATTGGTCATCAATTGGCCCACCGAGAGGCTTTTATACTAGAAAACCGGGATGGTTTAGCCTAGGGACTTTATAGTAAAAGGTCATTTTACACTGGCTACAAGTTCTTGGGCAAAATCTATCAGTGTGTTGTTATGCATCTGGTTTTCTCACAGCCGAGGGTAGCAATAAGTTTGATTTAGGTTGGCTGAAGCATAGCTTGTCACGTGTATGCCATGCCAACACGACCTGTTTATGAAATAGGTCAAGAAACAAATTGCTGTCCATCCTTTGAACTTTTGTCGATTGGTCCAGCTTATTTAACATCCTTGCCATGATTTTTACTGAGCCTGTAATTACATTACATTAGAAATGGCATTCATAATTGAGTAGTAGTGATACTAAAAATAAATTCACATGATATAACTGGTGAATGTAATGAACAATAGATAAGGAATGAATAGAGCAAAACTAGTTGCATGTTTGAAAACTTAACCTGATTTTTGGAAGCCATAGCCAACGATATGAGAGACCGCCAATGGCATATTTATTGGGAAACTCTTTTCAAAAAACTTACTTTGGGAATGGAGATGAAATTCTCATTAAATTCTAAGGGAAACTTTTAAGAAATGTTTCTGGTTCAAAAAGTCTAAGCATAATTTAAAGAAATTTGTCAAAAACTCTTGAAAAATATTGTGAAAACTCCCTAAAATTGAGTTTATCATATTTTCAGCTATTTTTTTCTTGCACTGAAATCTTATTTTTCAAGAATGATTTATAATTGTTCTAATTTGTTTCTATAAAAATTGTGTAGCATTGGTATATGGAAAAATTTAAGACCCCCAAAAATCTCCCACAATTTGACCCACAATGATTTGGTATGATAGATGCCCACTTTTGATTTGTTACACACCCATTGTCATTGATACAAGGCCCAACTCCCTTGCCACATCATTGTGAGTGAATTTGTGTATCTAAAATTGTGGGTCTCTATCACTTCTCACTATTTTAATTGTATAGGAAAGTATTCTAATCTCTTATATTACTATTTCTAAGCTCTTAATAAATTTTTGTATAAATGTCATGTCATATCCAATCATATATTTATATTTTTGGACAACTGTGCAATGGCCATACATCAGATTGAAAATTAAAGAAATTGCATATTTTTTGCAGTCCTCTTGTACCCATGCATTGTCTTATAATGACTCTGATAATTCCCTGGGTATGGCCTTAGAGTGTAAAACTTATACTTTCAGGACCTGTAAACTTTCAGAAATAAGTCTGAGTGCATAGATGAAATCACTGAATCTGTGTCCCTTTGTCTCCCATTTGTGTCCCATTGTGTGTATTTCATCTGTTCCTAGCACTGCTGAAACTCTCAAGATCTTTGCTTTCTTAGGCAGGATATTTTTTTAATCACTGTAAATAAATTATAAATCCATCCTCTTGTACCACATACATTGTGAGGTCCCTTTTCCTTGTGTTCCCAGAAAGCATGAAATATTGTGTGTTGACAATTTGGTCTCATGGGGAAGTGGTGGGGTTGGGTTTTCAGAGCTTATATTCTTTGAAGTCACCAATTCATTTTTTACTTTTTAGTTTTAAATTTTCTGACAACTGAAGCTAGATTTCTGCTAATATCTTGTAATTAAATACAGCGAGAAAATGCTATTGATAACTTCAGAGCTGGCAAAATATGGGTTTTGATTGCGACTGATGTTATTGCCCGAGGTATGGATTTCAAAGGTGTCAATTGTGTGATTAACTATGATTTCCCAGATTCTGCATCAGCATACATTCACAGGATTGGTACGTTACTCAGCCCTTATCTGCTTACATTGTGAAAATTATTCATTTTTTCAAAGTTCTTCAAATCTCGTGACCTGACTCGGATATTACAAAATGATAGTTGGGCTTGTAAATATTGTTCAACATTTACCAACCTTTCATAAATTTCTGTTGATGGATTAATCAAGTTATTACCTGTTCTTCAACACTCGTAGTTCGTGATTTTACCCACTGCAGCATATTTAGACAAGCGTGTTAAAACAAATCGAAAGTAACATTGTGAGTTGATCTTCTAAACAGGGCGATCTGGTAGAGCGGGGAGGAGTGGAGAAGCTATCACTTTATATACAGAGGCCGATGTTCCATTTTTGAGAAATATAGCAAACGTGATGGCAGCTTCTGGCTGTGAGGTTCCTGCTTGGATCATGTCGTTGACCAAACGAAAGTGGAAAAAACACCGGCCACAAAGAGACACTATTTTGACCAAACCAAAAGATGATGAGGAACAGTAAGCACTTGTTGAGGCCAGCTTTTGGTGTAAGAGAAATCCCCCTTTTGTGTTCTATTGTTTGCAATTGTGATCCATTTGAAATTTCATTTTGTAAGTTAAGATATTCCAGGTTTAGTCTTTTCAATTCTAGCTGCAAATGTGCAATTGAACTAAAATTCAGTTTTGTTTTTTTTAATTTAATTTTATTTCTTCTTGATCAATTTGGGATCATGTACTTGCTGAAGAGCCATTTTACTGGTTGAAAAACCTTAGCAACCAAATGAATATACTTGGGGTTTTTGATTTGATTCGTAGAGACGAAGCATCTACTAATATATACGCATCTTTGCCATTGAAAGTGGAGCAATTCAAAATAAGTTACTGGAGTAATGTTGTTTTGGGATTTATGTTTTTGTTTTTTTGTAAGTCAAAAGTCAAATGAATTAATTTGTTGTGCATGGTGATCAAATTTGTGTAGTTGTGTCACTAATGTTTTCATATCCAGATATCTAAGGTTCGATTCCCTTTTGTTTGCCCATTTCATAGGTTTAGGGGTGATGCGGCATGCAAGATGGTTAGTTCAACTTTAGTATTCCAAATTTAATCATCATAACATTGTTCAGAGTGTTTATAAAGAATATTGTTCAATGTGTGTAACATTACTAAACATTTAAGTGAGGTACTACATGAGGAAAATATTGGCAAATGATCAAACTAGGCCATCAGTGACCTCTCCTGTAGGTCCCAAAAAAAAAAAAAAAAAAGAAATTTATGTTGACAATTGTGTAGTTAATGTGCAGGTTTGGTAATGTTTTTGTTCTATTTTCTCTTTTTTCTTCTATGTTTTTTGTTTTCAAAGATTTTAAAAACTAATAATGAAAAGATGTTTGGTAATTATTTTTATTGTTGAAAAATGGCAATAAAATTTTTGAAATTTTGAAAAGAAGAATCAAACTACAAAATAGTTGTAGAAAAGAAAAAATGATTAAAACACGAGACCATATCTGAGAGAGAACCAAAAATGTAGTTACTAATGAAATAAACTGGCACCAAGGGATTTGAAATAGGCATGGATTTGTAGAACTGTCTTTTTATGTGGGAATCAAGACCTTCTCCTTCATCTCTCTCCTTAACTCCTTTGCTAGGCTATTGAGTCCATTTTTGGGTTCAATTTCGATAATCCGAATCGTTCACATTTTAAAATTTGTTGAGTATATCATACTTGTAAAAAATCAAGTTGATTAGATATCAGAAACTACATGTTCGGATCATCGAACTATGAACCATTTTTAAAAAAAATTTAATAAACAGTTTTCCAAACATATGTTTTCTAATATCCGATCAACTTGATTTTTTATAAATATGATATACTCAATAAATCTTAGAATATAAACGGTTCGGATCATCAAAATTAAATTCAAAAGTGGGCCCAATGGCTTAGCAAAGAGAGAGTTAAGGAGAGAAATGAAGGAGAGGATCTAGGTTTAGTGGTCATGATTTTCGTATTGAGTTGCTACCCTTCAATAGAAGATTTTTGTTTGAGTTTTCTTATATCTTTATTAACTTTTTTTTTTCCCTTCATATTTCATTCACTTTTTTCATTATTTTAGAATCATTTAGATTAATTGTATATAAATGTTGGAAAAACTCTATATTTTTCCCTCCTTGTGTAATTAGAAAATTGGCAACAAACCACAAAATACAAGCAATAATATGGTTGAAACTAAAGGCAACAAAACAATCACAGAAGCACCAAATTTACATAGTTCGACAAAAGTGCGTACGTCCACGGGTCCAACTCCGAATCAACTTCTACTATAAAATAACAGGATTATAATGGTTCATCTCTAGTCACAACTAGAGGTATACAATCATCAAGATATATTCTTAGATCACTAACAATATTTATATCATCACCTTAAAGGTGGGTTTCGACAAAATTAATAAAAGATAAAGTTTAGGTTTCACCAAAATGGATATCCCAAACTACCAATCCAAGAGAGCTTTGATAGGATCTACTCTGATCAAAATGTAGAGCTTGATTCCATGAACAGCATGCTGAAATTTCATCAAGATTGGGCAAGAAATGACCATCTAATCTTGGTTTAAACTATAGAAGAAACCCTAACTTTTCTCCTCTTTTTTCTCCTCTCTCTCTCTCTCGGCACTCTCTGTTTTTGTTGCTGTGTGTATATATATCAAAACATTAGACACAAAAGTCTCTTTTTCTCCTTTTTCAATTTTTTTTCTCTATTTGTTGATAGGTGCGCTAAACTTCCCTTGGAAGCTTTACAAAACTATTAGTAAAATAAATAAATTAACTTTGACTTGTGGGACCCACCTCCACATAGGAGGAACACCACCCAACAAATCTCCCCATCTCGACTTAGGTGTGGGGCACAACCAACCCCGCCTTACTTCTACAAAAATCATGTTTCTCCTTGGATAACGATTTAGTCATCATATCCGACCCACTCTCATCGGTGTGAACCTTCTCAAGTTGAAGCAATTTTTCTTCTAAGACATCGCGTATCCAATGATATCTCACATCAATGTGCTTCAACCTTGAATGGAATGTCGAATTCTTACTCAAGTGGATAGCAATTTGATTGTCACATGAGAGAACATACTTCTCTTGCTTTAATCCTTCATGCCAAGTACTTGCTTCGCAGGACCCAAATCCTTTGTAGCAAAGGACTTGCTAAGCTCTTTCTTCAACTTCTCAATTTTGCTCACATCATGCCCAACTATCAACATGTCATCCACATAAAGCAGCAAAATTATGAAGTTGCCATTTGAAAATCTCTTCACAAACACACAATGATCTGAAATAGTCCTCTTGTAATCGTGATCAACCATGAAGGAATTAAACTTCTTGTGTCATTGCTGTGGTGCTTGCTTCAACCCGGTATAAGCTCTTCTTTAGTTTGCAAACTAAGTTCTCCTAGCCTTTCACTTTGAACCCTTCAGGTTGCTCCATGTAGATCTCTTTTTCCAAGTCACCATGAAGGAAACCTGTCTTTACATCAAGCTATTTAACCTCTAAGTTCAAGCTTGTGGCCAAACCAAGAACAACCCGTATAGATGACATCTTCACTACAGGTGAGAAGATTTCTTCAAAATCAATTCCCTTTTTCTGGCTAAAACCCTTCACAACCAATCTTGCCTTGTACTTAGGCTATGAGTTTCCTTCTTCTGTCTTCAATTTGTAGACCCATTTGTTCTTGAGTGCTCTCTTCCCCTTAGGCAATTTCACTAACTCATAAGTGTGCTTCTTATATGGCTTTCAACCACTCCCTCTTATACTTGTGAGTTGTAGCTTCTTGGTAGCACTCTGGTTCTCCCCCATTTGTAAGCATCACATACTCATTGGGAGAGTACTTTGTTGAAGTTTGATGCTCTCTGGTAGATCTCCTCAACTGTGGTTTTGTTGGTGGTTCAGGAGGTGTTTGTTCCTCTTGCTCATCCTCTTGCTTATCTAAATCCATAGCATCATCACCAACTATATCACCACCATCTTTTTGTACATCTCCCTCATCATCATTATGCACCGTGGGTGGAGGGACTGGATCCAAGGCTATTGGATACTTATTTGTGGAAGCTGACTTCTAAACTCCTCTATCAAGGTCTTCAATGGTTTGATCTTCAAAAAAGATTACATCTTTGCTCCGTACTACCTTTTTGGTCAATTGGATCCCACAATCTATACCCAAACTCTTTATGGCCATATCCAAGAAAGATGCATTCCTTTGTCTTTCCATTAAGCTTCGATCTCTCATCTTTAGGAATGTGTACAAATGCTCTACACCCAAACACTTTCAAATGCCCATAAAAAACATCCTACCCTATCCAAACTCTGTCTGGTATATCACCACTAAGTGGAGCTGAAGGAGAAAGGTTGATTAGATTAACCGCAGTCCTCATTGTCTCACCCTAAAAAGATTTAAGCAGCTTTGCATAAGAAAGCATACACCTGATTCTTTCCACAATTGTTCTATTCATTCTCTCTACCACACCATTTTGTTGAGGTGTCTTGGGAATAGTTCTTTCATGCTTAATGCCAATCTTCTTGCAATAATCTTTAAATGGACCCTTGTATTCACCACCATTATCTGATCGGATACACTTCAAAGATCTCCTAATTTCCCTTTCAACATTAACTCAAAAAAGCTTAAATGCTTCCAACACACAATCTTTAGTTCTCAAAGCATAACCCTAAACTTTTCTAGAATGATCATCAATGAAAGTGACAAAATAATGTGCACGGCTAAGTGTACTAACTTTCATCGGCCCACAAACATCAGAGTATACTAAATCTAGAACTGTAAACACCCCATTTTTGACCGCCCTTAAAGACTTGGGCGCTTTATTCCAAACACTCGATGATGAAAGTGCTGTTGTGCGTAGTTCGAGGTCTCCACGAAGGGGCTATGTTTAAGCTTTGAAACAATCCCAAACCTTCTATATTCCTATTGATTATACCCCAGAAGTCGATTTTTACACATTGTACTACCCTGTGCTGTGTCTGAAGCAGGGAAACAGGGGATCACATTGAGGCCCGGCCTTGCCTTAGTAGCGAGAAACAGTGTTCTGGGTGGGAGCTCGCCAGCTATCCATTTTTGAAGATATTTATGACCCCTCTTGTTCAAATTCTATAAAAATGAAGTTGTATCTTTGTTTTGAGAGTTGAAGAATTTCTAAAAAGCTTATACACCTTCTTGAGAGCTCCTTCTTCTTGTGCAAGCAACCTTTGAGCAAGCTTACTACCTTGAACCTATATCCATACACCATATACACCTTCACACCTTAGTCTTGGAATCTTGGTTGAGCCTTGAACACCATAATTCAAGCTTGAGAGTTTGTTTGGACTTAGTTTGATTCACAAACAAAAGCTCACTTCTTTGAGAATTATAAGCTTGTCATCCTCTCTTTTACTTCTTGTTCTATTTATTGCTATCAAGTTCCTGTATTTTTGTGTGGTTTTGATCTCTCTTCAAGTGTCTAAGTTTGGGTTTGGATAGCTACCAAAGGGTAGAGAGAGTTGACACTCATCAAAGGGTAGAGAGAGTTAATACTCTTTCTTACACTTTCACCTACAGCTAAAACCCTTGCTTTTACACCTTTTCCTTTGCTTTCTAAATTGATTTTCAGAGTTTAAAAGAGGCTAAAAATCATGCTTTGAGGTTTCAAAAGTGGAGGGGTTAGCCACCCTTCCTTGTTCTTGCTTACTAGCCTTGTTTTCTCCCTTTATTGTTTAGCTTTTTAGGCTCTTTTCATGCATTTTGAGCCACTATTTTTACCTATTAGAGGTTGTTTTAAGGTTGTCCTAAGTTGTTTAAGCCTTCGTTTGGG